TTTCAAAATGAACTGTAAGTGATTTTCTCATTCTGTTCCTGTAGGGGATGTTAGATCCCCAGAACTCGCTTGATAAATGCCTTAAATTTGGATTTCACGTTTACCAGCATGGGCTTATCAGTTGACCTTGAGATTTCATTCCCCACCAGGAAAATCCATGGCTATGATTGATTGGCTGCTGTGTATTTTAGTGTGCTATTTTCTTAACTGTCCCAAGGACGTCGTTTCTATGATGTATAAATAAACGAGAGTTGTGTGCTTGATTGTATCGTGTGATTGCTAGGTGTTTTGTAGAATATACTTTGTACGCTTACCAAGCCTTCTGTTTACAGCTTGGAATTCAAAGTAGCCTACGTGGACGCTGATTAATTGTCTCGTTCGCGTTTATCGACTAATGTGAACTTGTAATAGCTTCAAGCGTACCTAGTGACGAACATAACAGTTCCACACTTTTTTTTCAATGTTCATTCTTGAAATGTTTGATACGCATATAAATGATGAGGAGAAAACACGATCGGTTAAATAGTAATATTCATTATTACCAGTGAATGTCTTACGGAACATTTTTGTTTATTTGTACTTCTGTATCGCGTTTCCTTACGAGTTGGTTGCCATCTTGCCTTGGTGTGCTGGTACGGGTAAGAGGGCGGTTATCAATTCCCGGCTGCCCACACCGTGGAAGGTTGTTTCTTGAGGAATCTGAAAAGGAAGATTGATTAGTTTTGGTCTTAGGGACCTGAATTATACTTCTTGAATAATATCTTCAAACCCAGTAGTCTTCTTCATTACCATTAATACCTCTACTATCTTTATCACTATAGGATTTGATTTGACATTTGCGTCACTGTGTGCTAATGTGGTATGGCAACATGAACTTATGTACATACGTACGAAGTTCTACGTTGCAACTGACTGACTGACTGACATCTTGCCTTGTCTGCTCTGCAGATTCGTCTCGGGATTCTTTTGATACCATAGAAACCCCAGAGAATACACTTATTTCATCTGTACTATCCTGTTTTTTGTCTTTCAACACGAGATTTTGGGATAACGCTTGTGACTCGAATTTTGATTGGTTTATAGATGTGTTCATAGTCTTTTGACTTGATCATCTACAGTATATATTGAAAATAAATTCGATTGTATTTTTGTTAGGATATTCATCCAATATCCTAAGAGAATTATTGGTCTATTCCTATTGGTTAATTCCTACTGGTTAATTTTATGGTCTACCTAGATATCAATGTCACATGATCCAATGTTGTTTCTTATTGGTTGTGCTGACTATCAATGTCACTTCAAATGTTGCTTCCTATTGGTCGTCTTAACTTTCAATGTCACAGACTTCGATGCTGTTTCTCATTCGACCAAAATGTATAAATATGCATTATGTGTAACGTTTTATGTCCACGACTAGGACCCGGTCCGGGATCCTTATTCTCTTCTGGACTCGGACCTCGTACTTTCTGGATGCTTGTAGAATACATATTCTACTTCATATCCCGTCTTCTTATTTTTACTCAATATGGGGGTTGGGATAATCGGATTTGATTAGCATGTCGTGTCACCAGATCCTCGCTCTCGTTTTCTGACTAGGTTAACTCACAATAGTTCAAGTATATCAGGTTGACGCGTTTACGTGTAGGCGTAAAGATTTTCTAGGATTTCCGTTAGAAATTATATACTTTGCCCTATTAAAGGATAATTATCTAATTATCCTGACGTCATCACCATCAAGTAACATATATTAAATTCGGTTACTTAAAAAAATTAGTGTTTTCCAATATACACCATATGTAGTATATTTAAGTGCATACTATTTTGTTTTAAATCCCTATTAGATTTTTAATATGAGCTCTGTTGATTTCACTTAATAATCACAATCAATGTTTACAACTGAAATAATATAGCCTAGTGCTACCTACTATTCATAGAAGAGTCTCTAGTTTTATTTGTCAAGTGCAAGCTAATATAATACGTACATTTTGTAAGAGTTTTTTTGGCAAGTAAGTTTTTTCCGGCATGAGGTCGTCAACCCACATCTCAACGCTTCTTTTTACCAGGGCTTGGGACCTGCAGTAGCCAGGAAGAATCTACAGGCGGAGTAATACATGTCTATGACAAAATTAAACAAGAATGGAGAAAGTGGACATCCCTGACGGACACCACTTGAAGTAAAGAATTCCAATGACAATTCGCCATAAACTGTCACTCGACCTGTAGTGTTCGAGTAGAGAGCTTGTATAGGGTTGGTGTACTTCTTTGGTACACTTTTCAATGACAGACACTGCCACGGAACCTCACGATCCACAGAGCCTCGGACGACAAATATTGTAGGACGCCTATATGTGTGTGTCTGTGTTTCGGGACCTGTTGTAGTGGGGCCGCGAGTTGATAATAATCGATGGATAGAGACCCTTAATGACATAGCTCAAAACCGTTTGCAATGGCGCAGGTGCATTCATTCTTTGTGTTCTCTCAAATCCTAAACTTTTTGATTCCTCATCACTTTATCCTTATAAGTCTATTTCACTAGATTCTACTTCTTGAATAATATCTTCTAATCCTAATCTCTCCGATTACTACTCATACTTGAATTGACAATTGCGTCTCTGTGCTAATGTGGTATGGCAACTTGGAAAGATGTATGTACGTACGAAGTTGCATTTGACTATTTTTATTACAATCGCCACATACAAACAGGATTAATCTCGCTGTAATATACGGTATTCAGTGTGTTAGATTCATGTCTAAATCAGAGTCGAATCTCAGTCTACCATTGAACATTTGATAGTCAAGCGATTTAATAACACGACCACGCCTTTATTTGAGTCCGCAAATGTGTAATAAAACCAAAGACTGTGGAATGCTACATGTACTATTTTACGTAAACTGTATACTCATTATAATGTTGCCCAATGGATGACTGGTTGCCGACTCAATATTCTACAGGTTAAAAGCGTTCTCGCACAAAATCGAAAAACCTAGATCCAGTTCCAGGGTTTTGCTTGTATGCTTTTCATTATCATGTCTGTCTGCACGAATAACTGTTTGAAATAAACTCATCCAACCGAATGCGTACCCGACCGTAGCTGCTACCTTGACGTGGTGGTCGGGCTTGCCTATCGTGATGACCCAACCGAGCTATACTGGCTGGAACATATGTTCCCGCAGGTCCTACCATGCCAGGCAGGTCGATCGGAGAACGATGAGATTAAAAGCAGCTACTCAAGATCTGAGAGAGAAGTCGTACTGCTGACTGACTGTGGAGGGGTGTGACAGCAGTAAGGTGTTTCCCTCGGACAACAACCAGCATCTGCAGCGATGCTGCCTTCTCACAAGGAAGGAAGGGTTAGAAAAGGCCAATCCTAAAAATGTCACACCTCACCCTACCTCACGGATTTCCGTCTCCAGGGGTAAGGGTGCCCACTAAGGGCTTTTAAGAGCGGAAATAATACTCAAAAAACCTTTAATAAAAAGGTCATGCATGATCGGCCTCAAGCAGTAGTCACCTGGACTCTGCGGTCATGCTCTCAGGTCTCCAAGACCAACACTAATCTATCTTCCTTTTCAGGTCCCCCAAGAAACAACCTTTCACAATGTGGGCAGCCGGGAAGTGATAACCGCCCTCATACCCGTAACAGCATAAGAGACCAAATTGGTCGAAATCAAATCCTTCCTACACCCACACATACCTCTCTTCTCTCCACAACTGACTGAACCGAATGTGTATTCAGCTTCTTATTATAGCCGTTGCACAAACAAAGTTCGACTCTAAGTATGTGATATACACGAAAAGTGAAGGGAGAGATTTATTTCACAGCCTGTTCAAACTGAATTGTGGGCCACTAAAGAATGATGAGCCCTACTTCAAATCTAACACAACAACCCAATACTAAAACTTTCATACTATAATGAAATAGCTGTCAATGGTCTGTCAGTCAGTCAGTTGCAACGTAGAACTTCGTACGTAACTACATCAGTTCATGTTGCCATACCACATCAGCACAGAGATGTAATTGTCAATTCAAATCCAATAGTAGAAGAGGTAGGAAAGGTATTAGGAGTAATCGGAGAGGTTAGGATTAGAAGATATTATTCAAGATGTATGACTCAATGAGAAAAGTTTAGAAAGTCAAAACTAGAGGTGTTGAAGAATCCAGAAGATTAGGATTTGAGAGAACACAAAGAATAAATGCACCGGCGCCATTGCAAACGATTTTGAGCTATGTCATTCAGGGTCTCTAAGCATCGATTATTATCATCTCGCGGACCCCAACCAGGTAGTAGACAATTACCGACATGGCTAAGTGCACTCCTCAATGACTTCATGGATTTGTGCCATGTTTTGGTTTGGCCGCCCCTGACTTCCTTCCAACCTACTCCTACACCACAAAACATAGCTTGTTGAGGCAGTCAGTGGTTAGGCATTTGTAACACAAGTTTCACTACTTCATCTATTGATCTGCCATCCTTACCTAGTACTCGTTTCCTAACGACAGCATTGCTTACTCGGTTGTCCCATGATATACGAGTAATGCTTCTTAAACATCTATGATCGGATACTGGTAACCTACGAACATCTTCTACTCTTAACGGCCATGTTTCACAGCCATATAGGAGAACGGAGCGAACTGCTGCGCAGTACACCCGTCTTTTGCTCAGCAAACGGATATCTCGTCTACGCCATAAGTGACGCAGGTTGACAAAAGCCAGATCGAGCCTTCTGTATCCGAGCTGAGATTTCGTCAGTCACCAGGCTATCAGCCCTGATGAGATTCCCCAGATAAGTGAAGCGGTCTACACGTTCTACTACTTCACTCCCTATCACTATTTCAGGTGCCGATGAAACCAAGTCTTGAAGCAACATTTTGCATTTCGAGGGTGAGAATCGCAAAACTTTCATACTATAATAAAACAGCTATTGATGGTCTGACATTAATCAATAATTCATCATTTCAATGGTTTCGCACAATTTTAAGCGAAATAACCAAAACAAAAAATAAAAAAACTATTTATTTTTAAGCTATTTAATTTAAAGTGAATAATTTTTCAGTATGAACAAAACATCTTTGAATAATAATAATAATTCAAATAAAATTTGAATAAAGCGCAAAAAAAAAATAAAACACAATAATAAACAAAACTTATAAAAAAAGAAAATTGTACATGTTCAATTTTCGCATCATTGATCACATTTCACTACTATTATTATTATTAATAGTAGTATATGCATAGATCTGAAATTGAAATGCAATCCTACATGTCTCTTTTTTTTGGAAACTGAAAATTGTATAAACGTAACAGAAAAAAAAAAAGACACCGGAACAACTATTTATATACAACTAAATCGAATCAAATCAAAAAATTTGTTTATGTACATGAGATTACTACTGACTATCTTGGATAAAGTAGTGTTGTAAACATGTGTAAAACTTGTTTAATTTCAATCGGTGTAATTGGTGATGATTGATTAATGCATAATTTTTGTCGATTAAACAAAATCATATCAATAATGTCTAAAATATCACCATCTAATAAATAAGCCAATATATAGAGACCTTCAAACGCTGATGGTGATGATGATGCTGACGCTGCTGACAATGAGGAGGCGGAGGATGAGGGGGACGGTAACGACAACGACAATGTTGAATCGATTGTGCACGACAACGATGATGATGATGTGGACGGAGACAATGTAGGCCGATTGATGCTACTACTATTCAGCATTTTCAAATGTCGTTCATTCTTACTTTTCAACGTCCCCTTGCTGTTATTAGTATTATTATTATTATTCAACGGTTGTTTCATTGTATTCTCATTATTATTATTATTATTATTATTATTATTATTATTATTATTATGATTGTTCAATGTACAATAATAAAGCCAATATAAAAATTTCTGACAATTACGTGATTTAGTTAAACTTAAAAAACTAGCCGATTGACGTAAACGATGAAATGACAAAAATTCATCCATTGTTTCCCCAGAAACTTTGGAATCAATTCTAGCTAAACGAAGTAAACGACCTTTAGCTAATTTACAATGAATTTGATGATAGTATGGTTTAAATAATTGCCAAAAATGGTTGTTAGTATTACTATTATTACCATTATTATCATTGTCATCGTCATCATCAACATCATGGTTATGATTATTGATCGGTGAAGGTATTGACAATTGATCAAATAGATTGTTTAAACGTATCCATGTTGGATTTTTGTTTAATAAAAGAGAATTGAAAAGTTTTGAATGATCGTATGTAGTAGTAGTAGTACCCTGATGATCATCATCATCGGCATGATGATCATTATCGACTGGTTGTGTTATGTCATCAACATGATTGGTTTCATTAAAAAAATCATTATTATTGTTGTTATTACTACAATTCAAATTGAATTCATTTGTTTGAATAATTACAGAATTATTATTACAAATTATACGAAAATATTTTACAATTCGAATTAATCGAAATGGTTGATTTTGGCATAGAATTAATAACTCATTTAAATTTGGTAACTTGAATTTTGGTAAATTTAATAATAATTGATTGACATTATGTTTTATATAATTGTAAATTAAATCAATAACAACATCAGATATACTATGTAATGGTTCACCGGAACCAATAAGAATTTTTTGTATAATTTCTTTAATTAAAGATTCTATGGAAGTCTGTAAAAATAAAAAGAGGGAATTGAAAAATTTAAAACAATCTGTGCACAACAAGATCATCATACATCACAGAATCATGAGAATTGATTTTAACACATCACTGACGAGTTATGTACTCTCATCTACTCTTAATCATAATATAATAAATACTCTTAAATGACTATAATAATCAGGATTTTCAATACACAAATGTCAAGATAGTTCTTTTGTATGGGGGGAGGGAAACTTGGAGAACTACCAAAGCTATCATCCAGAAGATACAAGTGTTTATTAACAGTTGTTTACGCAAAATCAGTCAGTCAGTCAGTCAGATGCAACGTAGAACTTCGTACGTAAGTACATCAGTTCATGTCACCATACCACATCAGCACAGAGATAAAATTGTCAATTAAAATCCAATAGTAGTAGAGGTAGTAAAGGTATTAGAAGTAATCAGAGAGGTTAGGATTAGAAGATATTATTCAAGAAGTATGGTTCATTGAGAAAAGTTTAGAAAGTCAAAATTAGATGTGTTGAAGAATCCAGAAGATTAGGATTGGCGAGAACACAAAGAATAAATGCACCGGCGCCATTGGTCAGACACCATCAGCAACAACGTACTGCTGGAGAGAACAAAACAGGGAGAAGCGGTGGAAGTGGATAGGACACATACTGTGAAAACAACCTAACTGCGTCACAAGACAAGCCTTCACTTGGAACCCTCAAGGCAAACGAAAAGAGGAAGGCCAAAGAATACATTAAGCCGAGAATTAGAGAAAGATATGAGAGGACTGAACAAACATTGGACAGAATTGGAAAGGGAAGCCCAGGACAGACAGAGTTGGTTGGAGAAAACTGGTGGGCGGCCTATACTCCATTGGGAGTAACAGGCGTAGGTAAGTAAGTAAGTAAATAACTATAATCGATTAAATTCACTGAGGTTCGGGGAACTATACTCTTGTTGTAACGCTCTCTTATTTAATTCCCAGCTAATTACTTTTGCTTAGTATACTCTGACCACATAATACACTGGACAAGTTGTAAAGAATCAAAAAACACGGTGGAACAGGAGAAAGATTATATTCCAAATAGCAACAAGGTTAAATGGAAGTAAGAAGCCAAAGGCGAAGGCAAAATAGTTTTTACATGAGAAGCTTCTGGAATCTAATCCATGTAATTGACTAGCACTGATCGGATTAGATTTAGCCAATCAGCATGCAGCTAACAACACGAGAATTTTCTAGAATGCTCTCCTCCAACTATCGACCAGACGCTGATTGAATAGGAAATTAGCCAATCAACGCGCAGCTAACGCAGCCATGCTTTTAATCTATCTATGTCCCACTAAAAACTCTCTTGGTTGAAATCCAGAGACATTGAAGACTAGTGCCTATAGTTTCGTATAAGTTGGAACATTAATAGGGATAGATGCATACGTACCGTATGAGACTAGCATGGAATCTAGGATATGACAATAACGACATTTCTAGTTTCACTGCAACAGAGTCGTCACTCGTCTCTTTACTGAACCATATATATATATATATATATATATATATATATATATATAACAATGCTTTAAGTTACTGAATTGCATAATCTCAAGAACCCGACCAGAAAGTTGTGATGCATCGTTATACTGAAATAAGTTATTCATCAGATGCTTAGGTATACAGGTATACAGAGACGCTAATCCTGCACATAGTAAATTATCGTCACTGTCACCGGATACACACTACCGGACATCAGTATTACTAATGTGGTATTGTCGCCGGCTGGGAGCAATATCCCGAAGATAAAAGTGATCGAACATATAGCCAGCTGCAAGCAAACCGAATGTTCAGAAAGTAAATATACAAAAACTTATAGATATGTCGTCATTAGTAGATTGGATGATCACACCGCGATTCCCCGTGTAAAAGACATGAAATGTCTTTAGGACTTTGCATTTATAAGCTGCTACACCATAAAAAGTAACTCATTACGCACATATTTATATACTGCTTTTTAAACCGCACTTTGAGTAAGAGCAATTGATGCTAACCAGTTACCGAATCCGAAATAGGCACGGTGGGATTCGAACCTCAGACTAAGTGGATAAAAATCAGCCATTCTAACTACTGAACCACTGATTATGAAGCCCCATAGTCACTTTATGATGACTAACCGGCTAAACTAAACCTATCTTTAAACTACTTAATGGTAATTTGGTTGAAGCTTCCTTTCTATTTGCTTTAAAATGTCTTAGTACGGTTGAGAGTGGTAAGTGTCCGCTCTAGCTCTTCAAATGATCACATACAGTCACCAATGGTGTTATTTATGAAACTGCGAGAAACGAAAGAGAGTGTCTGGCGCTTTAGCTGGCTAGGTGGGTATGAAGGATTTACCTATGGTAGTTAGGAAACCCTTATTTCGAACCATTGGTGTACAAGTGCTCCAAGGGCCTGACATAAAAAATGGAGTATGAATCTACTATTGGTCACTAGCTATCATGGGATTGCATTTCCTAACGTTGCTCCACTACCTGATGGATTAGAGTTTTGGGTCAAAGGCTCGGAGTATGACTCCTCAAAAAAACCGTATGCTTCGGTTTGGGCATTTGAGCAGTATCACAGCCGACTCACAAACTCAATAATTTGTGTGACTCATAAATACTTAGGCGCTCCTTTGTTCCAATGTTTGTGTGCTCAAATAAAAACAAATTTATCTATACTAATTCAAGAGGAAGTTTGACCGACCTTCTGTCTGTCTTGACCGACTTAGGGACCCCAAATGTAAGGACTAACACAGGTTATTATGAATTTTGCCCTTATCAAGCCGAAACTAATTCCTAGATGGTCTTCTAATATTTAAACATCAACTCTTACACATTTGAACTCTATTCCCTAAAATAGTTCGGGTAACGGAGTGACATCATTAACGCCTACATCTAGTGTGCGTTAAAGGTTAAAATATAAAAATCTATACTTAGGAAAATGAAGTACATAAACACCGGTCAATATTGTTTCTCCTTACATTCAATGATACTTTGAATTGATTTACGAACTTTATAGAAAAACAAATTACTGGGATACAGTATACCGTATGTCCATGAAAACATTTCACAATTATATCTAATTTAAGCACATACCATTATAGACAGCCGTATGGGATTCAAAGTAATTCACAAGATATAAACAGAAATATTTCTTTAAGATTGAGTGAGGCTTCCAGAAACAATTTGTTTTATACTACAATGAATTAATATACAGAAGATATTTCTGTAGGAAGCAAAAACGCAACACAGGCAAATTACATACAAAATAAGAAATCTAAAAAAATACTCTTACTCTGTAGCCTAAAGAAAAAGTGATCAGTTTGTTTGAGGATGACATGAAATTAAGTTGTAATTTTCTATGAATCCCTATGATAAGAAATATGTTCATATGTCATAGATTTCTCAAGACTTGCAAGGCCTATACGCATAACATCTTAACTAATATATTCCAACGTCTTTGAATAAATAACCTGCTTACCTACTTTTTTCAAGTCAAAGAGTAGAACTTTCGTAGAGAAACTTATAACATCAACTCAGGAAAGCTTTTATGGACTAAATTAACATTGTGATTCTGTTTTTACGTAAAAATTAAAAAAGAAAACACACTTAAAATCACCAATGGTTTACTCTTCATTGTTTGGAATGAGTATTAGGCAACTGATCACTGATTTTTTTAGTCCAAAAAATATAAGCACTTAAGTTATTAGAGAATACTCGTTAATATATTATGTTTCGAAGGATTTATAAATAGAACTCAATCAATCAATCAATCATATTGAAAGATACTAACTGGTTCTTGGTTATAATATTAATCGACCACTAAGTTTGTAGGTATAAATATAAAGACCAAGAGCGTGGTATGTTTCATTGCTGGTGTACAGATTTAACCCAGAGTTACAACTATCGGTAGAATTTTATATACGAAGCAGTTTGGAATGGCGTCAATACAGAGACCAAAGGCCAGCACGAAGTTAAATATTGTACAGCCTTACTTTCTATGTACAGTCAGCTTCATGTGTATAGTGACTGTTCATGGCTTTACAGCGACATATAGCCATCTATAAAGATCTCTAATTAGCTTGAGCCTGTTATCCAACAGGAAGTTCGCCAAATTATTTCAGTTTGTTCGTCAAGTAAGTACACCAAAACTACTATATTAACGTTACATGTGAGAAATTATTATCTCTTTAACAATAACTGCACGTTGTCTTGACTAACCATTTAAACCACCACATGTATTGTAGCAAACAACTTATGTGTAGCGCACTTTCGGTTGCGAATAACCGAATATCCAATATCCAATATCTTTTTCCACGAGCTATCATAAACCAGTTGATTTCTTCGCGCTCGATTCTTGTTCTTTCGGTACGGTTGCAGGTGTTCGCTAATGTCCAATCGATGGAGGTCTAGCCACTCTACTGTCTAATTCTAGTCAGTTAGCAGTTTGTTGTGAGTTTGTATGTTTCGGGATTTGAATGAAATGTTTGTTTCAGGGCAGTAGGGTTTCTGGATACTAGCAGCCGTCACATTACGAGACCGGGGATCAGTTAGTTGCAATGTGGAGAGTAATAAGGATAATAAGGATAAAATTCTAATGATAATATGAATAAAATTTCAGAACTGAGTAATATATAGATGAATTTAGTTTGTTAATTGGTATTGAAGATTGTGAGAGAGGACCGAAGTGTAAGCAAGGGAGAGGAAACAGAGACAAATGGCGAGATGGATTAAGTCAGTGATCTGAGGAGATGGAAATGATAACAACTAGCAGGTCTCAAGATATGCATAATGAACAGCTTGTCCAATAGGGAGATGATAGTCCGTATGTGAGTACGTGATTATCAAGTCTCTTCTTAAAGCAGTCCACTGAGGGGCTGTAACTACCCGGCTGGGTGAGCATTCCAAGTTGCGATGACTCGCAATGAGAAAAAGTGTGCACGAATCTGAGTATTCGCTCTTTGATGTGTAATCTTTCGAGGGTTGCCTCGAGGGGAGTGGTGGTGATGCATTGATAAGATGCTCACATTGGGATGGTTTGGTGTGTTTAATATGGTGTACGCCATAATCAGATCACCTCTGATTCCATATAGAGTATAGGCCGTTTGCGTCATATGAGGCAGGAAATGCATGACGTGGCACTTCGGTTGGTTGATTTTTGAACCGTTTTTCACTGCACATTCCTGAAAAGATGTAAGGTCCTTTTTCAGCTCAGTTGAATCCTATTCGCTTCCAATGGACCCCCAGATCTTCGCATCGTCTGCGTAGATCAATGCCGGTGAGCTAACTGAGCCTAGCAGGTCGTTGATAAATATCAGGAAGAGGAGTGGGCCTAGGATGGTTTCCTGTGAAACTCCCGAAGTGGATACTCTCCAACTCACGTGCATCCTGTTTACCGTGGTGCTAAACTTTCTATTCTCAAGGTAGTTTCTGAGCCAAGATACGAGTGGGTCAGTGAAGCCCATTTCCACAACCTTTTCGATTAGGCGTTCGTGGGGCATTGTGTCAAAGGCTTTTGCGAAGTCGAGAAATACTACGTGCACTGGTATTTTACGGTCCAAGCAGGATGTCCAACTGTCCCATGCGATGAGAGGATTAGATGCACACGACCTGCCTTTCCGAAACCCGTGTTGAGCTTCATGGAGTATTTTATTCTTATCCATGTACTCCCTCATTTGTTCGTCCGCTAGTCCTTCCATAACCTTTGATAATATAGGTAGTAGTGCAACTGGTCTGTAACAGGCTGGTCCTTTCTATCTCCTCTTTTGAAGATTGGAGAGAGAGTAGCTTGTTTCTCAATTCCAAGTAAGTAATGCGATCGGAATCCTTCAAGGAGACCTTCCACTTGTGTCAGGCTTTCCATTTCGCCTGCAGCAGGCGTTCAGTGACGCGTCTAACCCAGGTTATTCTGTTTTCGTGTTTTTGGTGTGACTGAGGTACGTTGTCTACGACAGCGTTTTGGATGATATCTCTCAATGCTTGCCAGTGATCATCTACTGTCAGCCTCCACCACTCCCGTGTTCCCTATCGCTTCGGAAGAGTGTCATGCCTGGTAAGCTCACTTCTGCGTCTGCAATGTCAGGGAATAGCCAAGTTTCAGTTAGGATTATGATCTTCAGATCCATCTGAGAGCACATATTCCTGATTTCTAACAGCTTACCCCTTAGTCCTCTTACGTTGCTATAGAGGCACTTGGTGGTTTGTCTCAGCACCTGGTGCACATTTGCAGCAGCAGCCGTTGTCGGATTTTCAGACAAGTTATTCAAACCGAATCGACCAGTTCTGTGCTAACTGGCCTCTGTTGGTTTTTGGCCTGCGCGGTTGATTCAATCATGTCTTGTGCCAGGGACAGTTGACCGAGTTTAACTATCAGTTGTGTGCGTTCATTTTGGCCACCCTGCTGTTGTCTCACAGATCTAGGTCTCGCAACATCTGATGTGGCTAGGGAGATCGTTCCTCGAACTGTACCAAGCTTCTAGTGTTCCGGTTAGGTCTTCCCGGTTTCTAAATGTTACAGCCATCACGCGTGGTGACTTGATAGACGTAAGGTGTGACGGGCGGGGCAACCTGGAAATGCAAACTGCCATCATGGTGTGGAGGGATAGGCTACGCGGTAGCCATCGCCACTGTTGCACATCGTGCTCGTAAGCTTCATCCGGGTTACCGCCGGTGAGTTCGGGTATACCGCTAACTACCATGGTGGTCTGTTCTTGGGTGTCTGGTGCAATTCTGGCTGCTGCACGTACTGACCACGGCTTGTCATGCCTGATACGAATCAGTAAGGACAATTTGGCCGATGGTATTTGGGATGAAAGGGTGATGTCTTCAGCAAGTCGTGCCGAGTCAAGAGTTACCCTCATTGGAGGGGTGCATTTTGGCCTTTGAAAAAGCTTCCTTCTGACATTGGGAAATTAAATAAAATAGGTGAGTTAGATCTGTCGTCCCTGGTCTTGGGTGGAAGCCCCTTGTGTGTTTGGTTGTTGATTTTTCCCTTCTTCACGTTCACCAACTGTTTCGTGTTGCTGGCAGATACTGAGGGGTCAACAACGACCATAGGTTTTGTCGGTGTGTTAGGCAGGGTTGTGGTAGACTTGGTCACTTGTTTTACTGGTTTAGTGCCAGGCGATTTCGCTTTGGTCGTTTGGACTTTGGGGCTGATTTTAGGTGGGACCTGTGGCTTTCTCAGTGTCTCAGAAACTCTACACCGAGGGCAGATGTACCAGAACCATGGGCAGGGGTGACTCAGCATGAAACCGTAGTACTCTTTAGGTACTGTATTGTCGCAGTGACAATGTACCCATGTACTGCAGAAGTTGCATTCGAAAGCATGGTCGCTGGTTTTGACTGGTGATGAGCAGGCAAAATAGTCATCCTTATGCTGTTTCTGGGCGTTGGACTGTGTCGACCGAGCCCTGGAGCATCTTTTTCTCCTATTCTTAACTAGCTTACTGGTCTTTTTAGTAATAGGAGTAGTGTCTTGCTTCCTCTGTGGTGTCTGGGTTGAATGGTCTAAAGTATGGACACTGAGAGGCGTACTATCGACTGACTTTTTGGGCTTTTTAGCAACCCGTTCGCACGATATTGGGATTTTTGATGCACTATTGACCCCGGGGTTTATGCCTCTATAAGTTTCCCTGGTTGTTACAGTGTAAAGTTTACTAGCGACCTTATTACTTGACATGATGCCAGGGAGATTAGGAGGTGAATATCGAGATAATAAGAATGCGAGATGCACAAAGATGTGGTTTAGGAGAGAATAAATTTAGTAGTATATAATAAAACTATAAGGAATAGAGCCTGAAAGTACTCCAAAATTGCAACTTTAACTTTGACCGCATTAGTAAGTAACTTCGCGTATATCCAGTAACTTGTCCACAAGTTCTGTGTTTGTGAGTGAGTGGATTTATGTATGCTGCCGAAGCAACTAGAAACAGAGCAGTTGAATGAGGTAGCTAGACCTACCGCGCAATGGTTCTGACTTGGAATGGTTCCGTATGCCCGAAAATGTTTTCAGATTGTCAACCAATGAATGGGGACAACTTTTGATAGCTTCGGAGGTGATAAAGTATCCCGAAAGTGGATTGTTTCCCGTAAATGGAAGAGAGTCAGCCAGGACACGAAGTTTATGTATGAAGTCGGTCTGCTTTATTATCTACCCATTATCCCATATATTGATAGTGGTTATTTCAGCTAGGTGACATAAATTTATTGAAGAAAATTATATGTCACGACCCATAAGAAGAGCCTAGAATGAACTTAAATTATTTAAGGTCTATGGTTATTTTGATCTCATGACCATTTATCGTACCTAGATCAAGCTGTACGTATGTTTATACAATTTGCGTTGATCTAAGACTTTCAGTTAACTGAAATTTGATCACTTATATGAGTTGACCGTGAACTGGCATCAGTTGAAATCATATACCCAAGTTATTACCCGAATCGAAATATTCTATTGGGTTGTCCAGTATCTTTTTCCATTACGATGGTTATAAGAGTAAATATCCCTTTGCCAGAGCAATAAGTGTGAGAAAATACTAGGGATTTAACGAAGATATTTACGCCAGAGTCAGTGTATGACGCACAATTTATTAATGGCAGTCTTTAGCAAGTCTACTAGCTCTGCGTGAAATATCACTGGTCCTACATGACTACAACCTGATCGCAGTGCACAGACGAATAGATAAAACTGATCCGAAAAAAAACTTTAACTCTCCACAAGGACGGTGTGAACGCATTTTAGAAATTATACTTAGGAGACACTTCATTTTCTCTTGAAACTGGTCTATTCTGTCTGTAATCCTCTCCCAAATGATAGGATCGCGATCTTATCACTAGTTTATGTAAAGCGCCTGATAACCATATATATACACCAGAATAACATCATTCACCCAAAGTGACTATGTACTACAACGGAGAAGACGAATTATCACTCATCGGTGCTATCTAAACCATCCTTGATATTTATTAATTATTGCTATCACTATGATTGTGAACTTAGCTTAGTTCACTTAACTTATATTCCTTGGGCAAGCCATTGCAGTGGAAAACTTTTATGAATAAAGCGTGAATAGTGCGATGGGAACATTAATTATTGTAACCAAATGAGCCAGTGAAATTTTTACTGTACCTTTTTGTCTCATTGTACCAGACACACTGAGCTTCCTCTTTCTGTTACGTTGAGACTGCTCACGCTCACTCGAGGTCTCTTCTGTAAATTTTGACCATATTTTGGAATTATTTCGATACCACTAG